TGGTTCTTAAAGTCAACTGTTGTTCCCTCAAGTGGCATTCTTACTGCTTGTTTACCGTTGATCACTAGACACTCTTTTATATGGCGTTGAAGGAACTCTTCTGACCTGAAGTTCTGAAAGCAGTTTATACAGAAATGCTTCTTATGATCATCTTTTGAATATGAATGGAGAAGTTTGTTGAAATCCCTTACGAGGACATAGTGAGAGTTACCTTCATCACTCGTTAGAAGTAAGAGGGTCATTGTATCCTTGAACGTGTTCTTTGACACAACAATTGGATAGAACACTTTACCTGTCTTATGACCAATAACATTTATGTTGATGTTGTTCTGTGACTCTATACGGGGAATCTGGTCTATAGACACTGGAAAGGTAACACCGTCGTAATTTAATGATTTAACAACTTCTTTATCCTCTTTGGTTATACGTTTAGGGTTTCGTTTGGTTGGATTAACATATCTTACATGTGACCACCTGAAACATTCGTTGTCATCTTTATTAAAAATGTTATTCAAACCTAACGCTGGCTTTTGGAGTGACTTAGGTAAATCCATATATGATGAGCCTTCAAGTGGAGCATATGTGTTGACTACTATATTCATAGTTGGAAGTTGATTTATAGACCACCCACTTCCTCTTGCAATGAAACCTTCAACCCGTTGAGAAACCAGGGCTATTGCCTCTTGGAGTGATTCTTCTATGTTACTTCCAAGTAGTAATGTCTTTGGAACATGATTTGCGTTGTAGTCGGCTAACTCATAACCATCCCAGCCCTTAGACTTTATGAACTCTACTTTTAGATTTATATGATATTTAACACCTTTCATTATCATAAGATTCTTAGATAATATTTCCTCGAGTGATGGAAGTGATGATGATAATTGAATCTGCGGATCATTGCTTACAATTTGAATTTTATACCTCTTTACTAGGTTATTGAAAGAGTTAGAGACTTTCCTATAGGTTGGCCTTTTACCTGTAGATAGAGGCTCAACTATATCCTCAAGTTCTTTTACAAATCTAGTATTCTCGAGAAGTTTGGGTGGGGGTTGGGAAGTTGGGATTATAAAATTAGGGGCTAGCTTGATCTTAGTTCTAAGTTTTCGTGTAGGGATTGGAGGTAACTTGGTTCTTGGTTTTGGGATTGGAGGTAACTTAGTTATTGGTTTTGGGATTGGAGGTAACTTAGTTCTTGGTTTTGGTACTGGACGTTCCTTTTGAGTTACCTTCCAAACCTTACTCAGTTCTGACATTGGAACTTTATAACTTTGCTTACGAGTTGGTTGTTCACGTTTAGTTGTGAAGGGTGGGACTATAAATTTTGGGTCTAGCTTGATTTCACGTGTAGGGATTTCCGTTGGTCTCTTGGGAGGGAGTTTGGTAGATAGAGGTTTTTCATTTACTTCCTCTAGCAACTTAGCTACTAACTTTTCTTGTTGGGAATTTTGGGGTGGAGGTAAGTTCTTAGTTTCAATGAAATATTTTCTAGACAACTCCCTTATGAGATAGATGTTGGATATCTGGTTATCGGGAATCGTCTTACTTTTTTCTGCTAGCTTTTCTTGAATGTCTGAGAATTTTTTAGCTATGAATTTTTGGTTGTCACTATCCTTAACATATTTATACGCAACCGTTGTGAAGTTGATGAGTCTGATAATTTGATCTTGTTGATTTTCCATTTTTCAATCTTCTATATAATAACACAGGTTTAACCCTTCTCTATAATATATAGGTAAAAATAAACGGGCCTATTTAATGGCACAATATTCCCTTTTACTTGGAATTTTAGAATGGGTCCCCAAGAGAGAATGTGCTATATGAACAACTAATTTAAACTAATTTTATAGTTTAAATTACCGTTCCAGTTTACATTAATGTTTATATTACCTGGTTACATTTAACACAAAATGAAATAAAATAGCCAACGGTATAGCACATTTTGGTTTGTAGAGCCATTCTAAGTGATATTTAAAAGTGCTCTAGAATGCAACTTTTTATGTTTAAAAAGACGTTTCATTTAGCACAAAACGTTTTGTAGAGCCATTCTAAGTTAGCACAAAAAATAAAATGTGCTAAAACCGGCTTTCATGTAACTACTGGCGATCCCTGACATGGCTAAAAAGTTAGGCTTGAATGCTTGATCACAGAATAAAGATACACAGAAGGTCGATTCAGCCAGAAAAGGGTAAATGCTGCCAATTGATTCGTCATCAAAATGCTGACGCTATGATCCTACCCAGTGTGCGTATGGAGGTCTTCTATTTTGAATATTATCAGGGGAGTGAAAGCCTCTCAGCGCATCGGCTAGCACCATGGCGTTATTTTGATGACAAATTTCGGTCATGTAACACTAACGTTGAGATTGCGACCAGGCCTTCATGTCAAACACAAGGTAATCAAAGCGCTAGCTTTTTCGCAAGTTCGCAACGCGAATACACATACGGCAGCAATTCACTAACTTTTTGTTATAGTAGTTATAATTTACGTCACAAATTCTTAGAGTCTCCTCCACATGCTCCATAACAATATCTGTGAGGGTACAACAACCATATACAGCGCAAAAATTAACCATTTTAATACAAAATTATTTTAAAGTTTTACACAATTTGCTTTATTTACAAAAGTTATATTATGCATAGATTGCTAATTTGTCCTGCAGATGCATTGTCACCGGCACTGTGACGTCATGTCCAATGGGTCTATAGTCATATGCTATAATCAACATAATACTTTTATTATAGTCATCATAGTCATGGCCTATAGTCACCTAAATAAATATGCTTCATCACCCTTACTTAGGAATAATTTTACACTGGATGTTGAGGGGCAAGCAATGCCTGCATGTCTTATCATCAAGTGGGACGTTTTTGCTGTGCAACTTGAATTCAATTAAAGTATTCCCTAGCATATAAAAAATACCTAAATGTAATTTAATCGTATTGGACGATCACGTGGCACAATATGGCGAAGACGAGCGTATTGGCCATTGTTTTATGAACAAAAGTCATCACTGAAATTTGTCTATACTTTCAACGTAAATAAATCTCGGCAGAGTGCAAGAAGTTATAGCGACTTATGAATAATCTACGTGCCGACCTTACGGGTATTTAAAATTCGATTAAAGACAACTCCAGATGATCAACAACGACTTTAAGACGACCATACTGCCATAGTAAAATATGGGCGCAAGCAGGCTATGATCAAGGCCACTTAAAGAGATAGTTGGTTAGCGTCCTCGTCCGCCCACAAAAAAGGTTCCGCACAGGATTTTCGCAGAGAATAGCCACAATGCTGAGAATTCTGCCTTGGTATAGCATTGTTCCCAAATCTTTAATATTTTGAAGAATAAGAGTAAGAAATATTTGTAATTAATGGACCATTTGCATTATAGACTAAATTTTGATCTAGACAAAAATTTCATTACAGCTTGAAAGAGTATCACAAAATTAGTAATATTCCAAAGTTTCGTTGCGAAATGTTGTAAAATGCCGATATTATAGCAATGCGAAGTTTGCCGTTTTTCAGTCATTTTGTATTACGCACGGGAAATTGACAGCCTAAATCTACGGGAAATTGACGTTCCAAAATTTCTCCGATCGCTCGGTATCATCACCAGTTGAACCAAGTTAAGGCCGAAAGTGCTGCTAATACTTCGTCAGAACAGGCAGCCATATCTAAATATTTCGCGAGGCAAAAATGTTGTCCCATGGGGCATACCGCTAACTGCGCGCGAGCCTGCACTTCCGGAGGAAAACAACGTAGCAACTGACCACCGTGTTGAGGCATCAATTTCCCGTTTGTAATACAAAATGACTGAAAATTGCAAATTTCGCAAGGCTATATTACTAGATCAAAATTTAGTCTATAATGCAAATGGTCCATTGGATTCATCCATAATTTATACACTTGAATGTGCCGTACGATAACTCGGCGCTCGAAGTTTCGTATCGAAAAAGGAAGAGCCGAACAGGTACGATGGTTAACAAGAATGAGTGTACTTATCAACTTATCTAACGCGAGGAAAAAATAAAAATGGCAGGTATGGCTGTGATATCTAGTATATAAAATTGTATAGACAATTTGCCTACAAATACGGTGCTAGGTCAAAACGATCCCGCTTCAATAATCATATGATTTAGACCAGGGGTTAAAGGCA